CCAAAAACCAATTCAAATGCCACATTTCGGTATCATTTTATTGACCGCCTAAGGCACGTGTAATATGGTGATCGTTGATCAGATAAATCAATACCTTGTCTTCCTTTGTTGTAATCTAATACAACTTGTGGCTTCATGATGCGCTCATTTTTACTATTAGTATTTCCAGTGTTTATCACAGTTGCTGAATGTGATGGCCTTGCGGATATCATCAAGACGTCTTTTTTGTCTTTCCACATGATCAATTTTATGCCGTCTTTATGCTGAAGCCCGTAAACTTCACCGCATCTAAGGTTTTTCTGAAGAACTTTGCTTCTCGATCCGACATGATTACTTCCTAGTGTCTCCATAAGATATGTATCATGTTCCAACAAATGTTTCGCAAGAGAAATACTGGTAAAGAAGTTGTCAGCTACCACGGTTCGATAACATCCCTCAAGGCCATCCAATAAATTCATTACTACAGTTTGAGCATGCTCAAGACCTGCCATGAGATCTTGCTGACCAGTATAGATCACATAATTTCAAGTGTATTCATTGGTAGCCGCTAACTTGTACATCTTTACGCCGTACTTGTGCGCTTTGCCAGGAATATATTGTTTGAACGAAAGTTTGCCTCGTCACGATACCATAGTTTCATTAATAGTAATAACCGAACCAGGCATATATACTGACGAAAATATTGCTTGAAGTAAATCCAAGAATGGTTTCAATTTTAACAGCCTGTCTTGATTCGAATTCTTGTTATTGTTGTTCGAAAAATGCCAAAATTTGAGGAGTAATTCAAACTTCTCTCTCGACATGGTATTTCGATTCATCTCCGATCCATAGAACTGACTGCTGCTCCAGTAGTATTTCAGTTTCGGCATTTCTACCAACCCCATCTCGATAATAATTCCAAAGAACTTGAGCATCGCTTCAATAGTAGTTGGTTTTCATTGACGAAATTTTGACCGTCTGCTAATCTCATGGTTCTGTAAGCACTGTTTCGCGTATTGATTAGTTTTACGAACCATGAAGCTAATCATTTCGTCCGTAATGAAATGCCGATAGCAATCGATAGGATTGAATGTATTATCTTCTGAAATAGAAGTTACTTCTTCGATGAATCCATGATCCTCCAGGAATTCTGCATCCGATCTTGATTCTATTTCACTCCAAGCGTGCGAATCTACGCCATCATCAGTATCTTCTTCGTCAAAACTTCCAGATTCAAGTTGCATTGTATCAAAATCATCGTCCAGAGAATTCACTTCACTGAGTGAGCTAACGCTGTCTTCTGTATCGGTTTCTTCAAACAACATGTGAATTGCTTTAAAATTTCGGTCGCTTTTATACACAAAACGACAGAGAGAAAAGAATAAGGGAGAAAAAGCTGGAAATTTCCTTCTCTTATCTCGCAAGTACTACCTATAACATGAAAAAGAACGAAATAGTAACTTGAGCGATTGTTCAGTTAGTCGGAAAAAATGATTCATTATATGGTGATACAAAGAAGACAACGATAAATAATCACTAGAAGATAAAGAAAAGGTCACTAAGTGCATTTATTAGAACTTAACTGTCCATGAAAATGAACATCTCGAAAAAATTTTCTAAGAAAACTGAATCGTGCCGAATGTGTTAAAATTCCTACATGAGATTTTTGAAAATTTGTCTTAACGACCTAAAGTTAATATTCTTTCTCGTTGTTGCTTGCGTAATTTCAATACATTTATATCAATTTGTTTGGTGTGATCCAATAACTTTCGTAAATTCAGATGTTGACCTTCGTGTACACCATTATCACTCTTGGTAGAAAACCGTAAATGCTTAGAAATTGATGTTTGTTTTATTTTGTGTTATTGAACGTTTTTTCGAATTAGTACCTGCTGTTACTAATCATATAAAACTTGATAATGAATGTTTTATTTACATCAGTTTCTTCGTCTGAATATACTTCTTCAACATCATATGAAAATGATGAATGATTATCGCTGGTTATTTCATTTGAAATCTTATAAAAATGCTATCATCGACTGACGGAAAAGACTAAATAATCTAGTTTACTTTGATAAACAAAAAAAAACATAAAATTGCTAAAATTAGTAAAGAAAAAACTAACCATCTATTCACATGACTATGGTTTTTTTCATTGGTGATTTGAAACTTGATGCTGATGTTGTTGTCGAATGTTTCAATTTATTCTCTTTTTCTATTTGTAACATCCCATCTTTGGAGTCAGATGGGGAATCTTCATGCATTTGCGATTTCACTGCTTTCTCTAACAGTTCATCATATTGCTTCATTGGTTCTTTTGCACTTAAACATATAACAAAATCAAACAAATTAACATTTATTTTCGTAAGATAGCTATCCAGTTCGAGCAATACGACAAAACTTATTGTTAGTATATGTGCCGTAAAACGACCATATTTTCAATGTACAAGGCACTATACGCCACTGTTTACCGTCGTAATATCACCGGAAACGACCATATACCGCTGTTCCGAGATAATCATCAACATCTCAGGTCCATCATTATGACGACCGTAATACACTGTATACAGCTTTTTACATTACTGTAAACGATCTGGAAAAACATTACAATTTGATTTTCTATTAGAGTCTTATCAATTCGATTTTAAATCGTCTAATTTTCAGGTTTCCAAACAACTCTTAAAAGACCACCAGAGCCCTTTGCCAAAAAAGATACTATTTGAACGAATAGTCACCTACAACAAAGGTGGTGATCGTAAGAAGGCTTCACAATGCCGTATTCTTTTAAAATTGAATTGATCTGTTAAGAACTTTTGCTTTTTTCGACATGTCCGAAAAGTGCTGTTTCATGGACTTATTGAAAATTATGAAAAACAATCTTGTTCAATTCGTTTTCGTAAAACGTACGTTTTGCATTTGGCTCGAAGAGATAAAGGAACAGAAAGTATGTAGAATACTATTGTTCAGAATCCGCATAGTATAGGTATGTCGATTGATTTCTAAGATTTCAGCAACCTAATCAAAAGTTACTGCCTATGTTTCAGAAAACTGATTTAAAATGCCTTTCAATTGTAAATTTTAAGAATGGCATACCTTTGCAGGTGTACGCTAGGAAGTGCAAGTAATTTTTTCATGCTATATGAATCTATTATTGTTTATACCCAAATCAATGATTGCGATGGTCGTAAACAGGCCATGTTTCACTCGTATGGTAGCAACAGTATTATGGTCATATAACGCCGTGTCGTATAGGATGCAATACAGGCGTAGAATACATCCAATTCTGTACCGCAATACGGCGTTATTTAGGTGGATACAGTAGAGTAGGGTAATTTTCATCGTCGCATATCATCGTGAAACGTCGTACTGACTATCAAAAAAAAACTAGATGACAACGATGGATGTCACTGAACTTTTATTCATCGTCCAAATTCCTTAATTCTCCATTCAGACTCAACAAGGAACGCACGAAGCCAGGAAGCATCAATAAACACTTTCAAAGGGTTTTTTCGAAAAAAAATCAATTTTCCTTAAAAAACTCACCAAGTACGTAGGTTTCGACTACAAAAACGCCTTTAAAGTATCTTCTTTGATTAAAATTCATTCATTACGATAGAGAAATTATATTATTTTAGAGTTTTCTGAAAAAAAGCATTTTCTAAGCCTTTTTCCAGAAAAATCTTTTTTTTCTTTACGAATTCCACTAAATGCGTAGGTGGTGATCCAGATTAGACTTCACAATGCCTTCTTCTATTGGAATTCATTCATTTGGATGAAAGAATCATATTACTTACAAAGTTAAAAAAGGGCGTTTTTAAGCTCATACATAAGGATTTTTTCGTAAAATCTCAGATTATTACGTAGAAATCATCTGAAAGAAAGCAGTGAGCTTCAGAAAACGCTTTACAACGTCTTTTATGTAAGAATGCATGCATTTGGACGGAAAACTCGCGTTATTTACTAAACTTTTAAAAAATACCTAAAAAACCCTTCTTTCAGTAAGTCTTCTAACTTTTAGGAAGCCAATTAAGACAAAGGTATTGATTACCGAAAATGCATTACAATGTCTTTTTCTATTAAAATTCATTTATTTCGATTGGAAATGAGCTCATTTGGAAATTTCAACTTAAAAGGGCTTTAAAAAGCGTTTAAAAAAATCCATGTTTTCTGAAACTAAAATGAACTCGCTGAATGAAATCGTTTTTTGACGACCGGGAAATCAAAGTTCTGGAGAGCATCAGTTTGATATATTGGCGTTTCATATATTGATGCTTCACTTGGAACGTTCTAGGAACTTGGTCAAAACTTCCTGCGAAGGATTTTCAGAAAAAGAATTTATGAGGAATTTATGCTACNCTTGATTTATTTTTCGTGTTTTTCTAGTAAATGAACCTTTGTTTGAGTACATTTTGGACACTTACCATTTAAAAATAAGGTGTAGACATACATTTTGTTTTAAGAAAATAGAGTGTACAGTACATTGTATTTTAGATTTCCATTAGAAACGCTGTTTGCAATGACAGGTATAATAAAAATCTAGAGAACATCTACTCTTGAGGATGAACATTATCTTTTACACATTCTATAGGAAAAGAGAATGTTTGTAGCAGATTCTGATAAATAAAATCCAGATTGAGTTGAATACTTTAAAGATTGTATGTGATATTAAATAATGAATTATCTATCAATTATAGATGAATAAAAGACAGAATGTGTGATCGTCCTGATCTGTTATCTTGTCCTGTGTGACAAGGCAGGATGGTAGTTATTGTTCCTTCTTCGTACCACTCAGCATTCGCAAGGTTGCTGGCGGGACAAGACCGAACAGAAAAAGTTGTCTTGTGCTCATTGAAGAAAACAATACGAACGTTATTTTTTGTTTTAGATTGGAGAAAATTTCGTTTTTGTAGAGTTTGATGTGTTTGGCTGACGAAAAGAAAGTGTAAAAATCCATTTTGATTGCATAAGCAAAGGTTACAAAAAGATTTTCACTTTGAAAAGTCATCGGAATTGGTATTTTGATGTCTCTTTGTCGAATACTTCGTCCTTATTATAAATTATTTAAACGCTCGAAAAGTCTTTCATCATTATCTTCATATCGTGATCGATCATTTTACAAATATTTTGTCGATTTTCAAACACGGTAAATTCTTTTGATTAAAATTCTTTAAATAATAATAAAAATTAGATTGCGTGACAATGATTGTTATGGTCATGTTAATTATGTTGTTTATGGTGAATGGATTGATTCAACTATTGATAAATTTTTAATTGAACAATGCTCATTTGATCATTCAAAATCTTCATTACTTGATTATGTTGTTTATTCTCATTGTGAATATTATAGTCCAATATCATATCCATCAATAATTTCAGCTGGTTTATTTGTTAAACGAATAGGAAAATCATCTGTTGATTATCAGGTTGGAATATTTGAAAATAACAAATCTTTAAAAGCTTCAGCTGTTGGTGGTTTTACTAGTGTTTTTGTTGATCGAATGAATCAACGTCCTCATTCAATTGATGAACAACTGAGAAAGCAACTTTTATCTATATCAAATATAATTCAATGAAAAAAATATTTATATTTAACGAATTTTTTTGTTGTACAAGTTGAGCAATAGTATAAAGTCGTGTAATATTTGTAGATCTTCTTTGTTATAGGTCTTGATTTGAAGAATAATTTGTTTATTTTAGATGAATTTTTAATAAATTGTTATTCGTTTTAATTTGGTCAAAAATAAAGAAAAATATTAGTAAGATAAAAGTGTCTAGAATGAATATGTTGAGATAGTTTCTTGTCAAGTATTTCTAATAAAATCTGTTATTTTGAAGGTCTATCTCGATTTAACCTTGAAAGATGATGAATAAAGTTTTAATTATTCAAACTGAAAGAGAATTTCAGTTGTGCTCAAACGAAAGATTTCTTTTGTGAAATCGATTTCTCTTTATTATTTATGTTCATTTAACATTGATGATGACACATTGACAATGTTTTATGTGCGAAATATCTACATACTACTCACTAATCGATTGCTCAATTTAGAAAACTCTCATTCCATATCTTTGACTATTGTGCATGGATATGGAAACCATTTTGGGTTGATGTCCAGGCCTCGCAGCGATCCTGATTCATCCTGATTTTTGGTGCTTTTCGAAACTAAGAAATTTCTCTAGGAAATTTCGGTTTAGTCTCAGTGGAGGCGTTTCAGAAATACTGTCTTGAACTGATGAAGATATTGTTTTTTTTTAATGATCGCGTTATTCATCTTGTTTGAAGAATAGATAAAGTTTTTTATGAACTGAAAAATGTTGATGAATAAATGAAAAAATTCATCTTTTTATTACAAGATTCTTACAATATCTTCTGTCATTATTCAGTAAGAAAAAAAAAAGAACAAACAGACACAAGTTAGTTAGTAGATCTGGAAGTCAAGAGTCTGATGAATCATCAACTCTCCTCGTTGGATTGCTGTCAATGAATCTCACGAGGGAACTTCTCAAGGTCTCCCTTTGCTTTTGACTTCATATTTTGACTATATGTTGGGGCCTCTAGACTAGAATAACCTTAAGTTGGCTTGCTTGCCTGGAAATTTGGGGTTAATTTATTATAGATTGTGGACTTATGACACCAGGTTATCTGCAACAACAAATATGCGGATTTTGACCTGGAATTTTGTCTATAAATAAATCTAATGGCCACTAAGATACCATAAAAGGTTCAGACAAAACGAATGCATCATGGAGATATTTAGTTTTCAAAAACGTCTATTTAGAAAAAATTCACAAAAATCGGAACATTTGGATATTCAACATCTTAAGAAGGATGCATTCGTTTTGTCTGAAACTTTTAAGGTATCTTAGTAGCCATTAGATTTATTTATAGACAAAATTTCAGGTCGAAATCGACATATTTACTGTTGCAGATAACCTGGCGTCATAGGTCCAAAATCCAGTAAAGTGATCATAACTCAATTCTAAAGGTCCAGGCAAGCGAGCCAACTTAGGCTTATTCTAGTCTAATCCAGAGGACATCGTTGGGATATCATGACGATGTCCCAACAACGTCCGCTTGGAATTGGCGATTTCTGCTGTCACTCGACCTTCTAGGACGAAATATATGTTGATTTTACGATTGCCTATCGACGAGTTGAAAATCATCACAATGTTTCAGAATTTTTGTTTTGTCATTTCGCGCTTTGTTTAATTGTTTAACTAAGAGTAAAGCTAGCTATGTTACGTGATTGTTATGTTTTCGAAACACTGAGACAATGAGGGGACGATTTCCTCTTAAAATTGTATGGGGTACCGGTTTCCTGTGGGAAGCAGTATGATTTCTCATTTTAAAAATAATGCCAATTGCTGGAATAGAGTAGAGAATGAATTCCATTTGACATTTCGTAATTTCTATTGCGAAATGAAGTGTACTTTCGGAGGGGCTACCGAGATTTATTTTTTTGGGAATTATTTCTTCTATGGGATTTATTAGGATTTATTTATTTTTTTTAATACAGATTTATTGGAATTTATTACCTGTATTAAGATTTTCGTGCACCCTCACTCAACTGCTGCTCCCTCACCCTCACCCTCAAGATAGTGCGGGATTTATTTAAAAACATATATGGATTTGTTAAAAATCCCAAAAAAATAAATCTCGGTAACTGCTGCACCTTCGATGAATAGTGCCTATGTTTTGGGAATCCTGATTTATTAAGTCAAATCCTGATTTTTTTTCTTAAAAATTCCTGTCCTGATTGCTGATTTTGCATACTAGGCCGCTGCGACCCCTGGTTGATGTTCATATTAGATCTGCAAATCGTATCGTTGGTGTCAAGTTATTCATATCCTTGTTCATAATTTGAGATTAAATTTATATAAAAACCCCGTTCCTATATAGTTATTATAGACTTAAAGTACGATTTGTTGATGCTCGTGGATGAAAATATAAATCTTGAATGGTCATCATGTTATTATACAATGGCACAGTATCTATGATTAAAACAAAGCATTTAATAACGTTATTCTAGGTGTCAGATGATAGTACATAGATATTTTATAATTTAAAAACGATAACAATATTTATACAATTTCATTTTTCTTTTCATTTATCAATTGATTGTGAATTTATTTGTATCTCTCTTATAAATAAAGATAGCTAATGATAATAACGCCTTCTCTATTTCAGATTTTCATCTCATGAAAAATAAAGCTTCTGTCTCTCAATTTTTGTTTTCTTATTTCACTTAATTCTTATTTATGACCTTCTACTTTATTTCGATGAAATGTATCATTTGTAGAAAATGAGAAAACTCTATGAAATATTCAAATATATTGATCACTCGAGACAATTTTAGACAATTGGACATTTTTCAACGACGTTTTCTCACAAGATCAAACATGTTCAACTATGTTAACAGAATATTCTCAACTCAAAGACAATTCCAATAAGTATATCATTCAATCTAAGAAAAAATCAAGTTCTTTACGCTTAAATTAGATGAATTCAAACAAATAGAATAAGAGAAAGATAAAGAACGTAATGCGGGTGTGGGTGCGGGGTCTGGGTATGGATGTGGGTGTCTTGTTCTCACTCCATACGCACATCCTCATCCATAACATTAAGAAGAAAAAGATTTTGACAGATATTATTTTTGACGATTTAATAGAGCTACAATTATATTGTTGATTTTTTTAAATAAAAACATGAAAGTATTGACTTTCTAAAATATGAGCACATGAATTTTTTTGTTTCAAAATATCCGGAAGTATTTTCATAATTCCTATCATAGTATATTTGCTTGACTTTTATCAGAAGTACTTTTAACAAAATGAATTTGATTCTTTTTAGCTATAAAATTCCTATTTAGTGTAAAAAAAAGAATTTATCCACGTATTGAATAAATCGGAGATGCAACAGAGGTCACGCAAAATGTAGAATATGCATAAAGATTGTTCTAATTGATAATGCAATTTCTACATATAAATGAAATGTTTGACATGATTTTGTCAAAATATACATGCTGATTTGTCATTTCTATTTCCATTATCAGCTAATAAACTTTTCTTTTTCTTTTATCCTACGTCCAGAATGAAGATTCGTATTCAACTCAAGATGTGCCATCTCTTGAAGATCTGTAAAATTGCTCAATGCATCTTTCATATTTATATTTGTTCTGATTTACTGATGAAAATTTCTTCTTCGATACTTACTTCGGAATCGTTCGGAAGAATGAATGTCAGATGCTCTGTGAATATATTTCAGCTCTCATTCTTATCGAGGTGATAAGTTCTATATATATGAGCAGATGAATGTGACGACCAATGTGTACGATTAGGGAAAGATTATCAATCTTCATAAATTTTATTTTTGTTGTTGAGAGACTTTCTCCTTCAAAGCAAAAGTAACGGGTGACGCAAAAAAAAATGTCTGTCCATTTTTCTTGTTCTGAAACACGTTATAAAAAAATTAAAAAATGTCATTTAAAATCCACATTTGAAGAGCTTTTCCACTGTATGTTCAAAACATTTTTACCACCGCTGCCCTTCAAGCAGTCAGTGCACCATTGACCCACACAAATATTCAGTCTGGAAAAATTGAGTGATGCAAAAGTCTTTGTACAAATGTTACTTCATTTTTCGTCTGCTAAAACAAGTTTTGAAAAATTCAAAAATAGCTATTGAGAATCTACATTTGACGAACTTTCCAATAGTATGTTCAAATTTTTTTATAAGTTTTTGACTTTCGAGTACCAAGCACATATTTGAAGGGCAAAGAGATTGTCTATAAAAAAGAAAGATGGTACTTTCCGGAAAGTGTAAAATTACTATGTGGTTTATTAGAATGATTTTGACTTTGTAAGTTTTTAGAGCGGACTATTCTCTAAGTATGTGAATGCTAAAATAGGATATATGGCAAAAGGGTTACAAGTTATCGTCCTTTTGGAAACATTTTTTCAGGAACTTTTGCATCACCCGTTGAAAGAAAATTATGGTAATAATACAAATTTTAATTATTTGGTATATATTCTTTCAACAATGGGCACTAGAATGAAAGTAAAAACAATGTTTACATGTTGTTTGAAAATATTTATAAATAAATGCATATTTGATAAGAACTCTGAAAAGCACCGTTGGAAAGAAAATATTGTGGATTTTTAAAGTGCATATCTTTCTTAAAAACTTCAGAATAAAATCTTTAAAAAAAACATTTTAGAAGATGGCATTTGAAGATTTGGATAATGCATGCATCTTCTCAATAAGTAGAGGAACATAAAGGTTTTGTTTAAATAATAGAATTGACATATAAACATTATATGTCAATCGTCTAGAAGATTTAATATTTGTATCTCCAACCGAATTATTTACATTAGAAAAGAATTCTGTCTATTTGACAATATAATAAAAAATTTCTTCCTCTAATTATTATAGTCATTCTATATTTCAAATGCAACTCTAAAACCTGATAAAATACAAAAAAAAACTTGATGATAGATCTTTACGTAAAAAAATATCGCCTGAAGTGAAAGATTATAACTAATCGAGGAATGTAAGTGAAAAAGTATGTACTAAACATGCACTTTAAAGTTTACTAAATTATCAAAGAAGTTAATTAATATGCTTTAGAATATTCTAAACGAATTCGGTTTGAAAGCCTATATGAATGTAGTTCTAATTATAACAAAACTAGCAATTGTTGATTGGCTCTTTGTCTTATTTTTATGATCTGTAGAATAATTAAATAATAAGAATTTGTTCAATATGACTTTTAAATATCTATTGCATATCTTTTCTTTACTTCTTTTAACTTTTCAAGATTCAAATAATCCTTTTGCGTGAAAATCTTGCTACTTTGATAGTTTATTAACATGTGTGGCAAAATAAGTTAAGATAAAATGAATAATAATATTCCGATTATCACATTGAAAAATATTTTAGCAGTAAAAAAATAATGATTTAACACAATATTCAAGCAGGGTCATAAATAGAGGGAGCATGGGGCGTAACAGTTTCATGCTCTTACAATTCGCTATTGTTGCACCTCCGTTCCTGCTTTAGGAATTGGCCTATGTAGCGATCTCTCTACACCTCCGTCTCCAGAGATGAGTTACCTCTACAATCAATTGACTGAAATACTATAAATGATGTTGTTTGTGTTAAATAGCAACAATTGTTTCATCAACTAATCGCTATATATTTATATTGTGATTTAGATGCATCAGCAATTCATTTTCAAAGACACGAATTTCTCAGTAATTGAACTCTTGTCTATGCACTAGAACATTAAAAAAAAACAGTAGGAAAATTAATGTTTGCATAAACATATGTTAGTGTGAAAGGGCAGTAGAAAAAAAATACATTATTGTTTTCATTGACGATATCGGTCAAATAGGACAAATAACTATATTCATATGAATATTAATGCTTATGCACTGAAGAAGAGAGATAGCTCAAGATAAAAATGGCAGATTTATTTATTCAATTGAACGATTTGCCTGATGAAATTCTTATTTATATATTTAAAAAGTTGACCAATCTTGAAGTGCTTTATTCATTATTCGGTGTTAGTAAACGATTAAATAGAATAGTATATGATTCTATTGTTACAAATTGTTTGACCTTACCAAGATCTGTATCGAATGATTATATTTATCCACTATCGAATCGAATACTTGATCGATTTTGTTTACATATATTACCTGAAATTCATGATAAAATAAAATGGATTAATCTTGAATCATGTTCAATCGAACGTATCCTTCGCGCTACAAATTATCCAAATTTAAACGCACTAGGTTTATATAATATTCGACAATAAATGGATACATCATTCTTTACTGGTAAGATTTTTCACGTTGATTCAGTCCTTGAATACAGTTCAAATATATGAGAACTCATTTGAATAATTCTTCCTTTTATTGTCTCTAGCGTTAAACAGATTATTTTTTTAATGAAAGAATTTTTTCATTTGATTATATTTATGATAGAAAATAAAATTTCTTAGAGAGAGATGACGAGAAAAGAATTATGGAATCATTAAGATTTTTAAAATATTCTTATTGTTAAAAAAGAAAAAAATTAAATCGAACAGATATTTAACCATTTAATCGTTAATAGAGATAATAAAATATTTTATTCCATAACCATCTTTTTCTATTTAGATGTAACTCTTTTAAATGATACATTAAGAAAGCAGATTTGATTTCTTGTGATTGAAATCACTGATGATGAAGAACAATATTTATCAAATGATTTGTCTGCACAAATATTTACGAAAATCTTTACTATATTTAATAATTTAAAATATTTAAATATGAATCGATCTTTTATTTCTCAATTATTATCATTTGATATATCACCTCCAATTTTTTTTCTCTTCAACTCTGTTAGAATTACATGTCAATGTGTTCTCTTACAGAGATTGTTTTTATTTACTTGATGATCGTTTCAATCAACTTCATACATTCAATGTAAATATTCATTCTAGCATTCCTAACTTTCCAGTAATCAATAACATGGTTAGTTATTTATATAAACATATTCTTTATTGAAATGAATCCACGAACAAAATTAATCTTGTTAATATGGATGATTCTTAATTTTGTTTTTTTAGGAAAAACTTCTCAATTTAAAATGTTTATCTTTGTTTCATAATTCGATGATAAGTTTCTACGATGAATTACTGCTACCATTTCTATATCGAATGCCAAATTTAGAAAAGCTTGCTTCATATTTTGTTGTTGAACGCAATAAATCGTTCATTGATGGTTATCAGTTGAAAAGAGATATTATTAATAAAATGCCACAATTGAACCAATTTTTATTTAGCATTTGTTCAATTATTGATCTTAATAATGAAATTGATTTACCCACAAATGAAGATATTCAAAATACATTCAGAGATTTTAAAAACAATCAAATTACATCTTATATTAATTATTTTCCAGAGTCGAAGAAAGGTAAATGCCAAATTTATTCATATCCAGTTACAATAAGACGTGATGAATTTATTGCAAATAATTTTCCAGACGGAATATTCAAATGTGTTCGTCAAGTATCATTATTTGATGAACGTTCTTTTGAACATGAATTTTTTCTTCGACTTCAGAAAGCATTTCCATTTATGAATAGTTTATTGGTAAATAATAAAAAAGCACAAACTAACAAATTATCATCTGAATCAAACAATAACAATCATCAATCATTGAATATCGTTATTTAACTCATCTTGATCTTACTTACGCTCATTATGATTATATCGAACAATGTCTACTTGATACCAAAATGTGTTTACCAATTAATGTTGAAAGAAATGTGTTTTGAGCACCAAAAAAAGGTGAAATGAGCACCAAATTGATTATATGTGTTTTGAGCACCAAAAAAGAGTGAAATGAGCACCAAAATTGATTATATGTGAAAAGAGCACCAAAAAAAGGGTGAAATGAGCACCAAATTGATTGTATGTGAAAAGAGCACCAAAAAAGGGTGAAATGAGCACCAAATGAACAGAACAGTACAAAAGGTATCAATTAGATTTAAGCGAATTACGATTGCAGTTCATAGGTACTTAGCTATTAAATTGTGATAAGCTCTACTCATATTCATTAATCCAATGAAAATTCATAAATAATCTAATTAATTGGAGTAATGATTTGTATATAAAAGAAGTGTAGAAAAAAGTAAAAAATACAATAGCAAAAACATGTCAAGCAAACAATATCAAATTTTAAATATCGTCAAAACATTCGACGAAGCTGATATTATTCTAAAGCAGCATAATGTATCAACTTCAACAGTGGACATCATTCGACGAATTTGTTATTTGGTTGAAATCTTGCTGGCTTGTATGC